CGACGGGAAGGTGGGATTAATTAATAAAATTATTATCACAGTTTATCCCAGGCAGTTAAAAGCACAAGGCGGTGCCCTAATTTGACATCTAAAATCAGATTACGCCTCGAGGAGTCCTAACAAGCTCATGTGGCTGCCAGTATTAAAACCAACAGGCTGCATTCGCTTCCCCGAAGACAGGACCCACGTTTTGCATCCTTGGAGCTAAATTAGCCCCACGCTTCATAGTGGCAGACTAATCCATATTGAAGAACTGTGTAGATTAACAAACTGGGGTGCTGATGAGTCAACACTGCTAATTGGACAAATCATTTCCTTTACAGAAACTGAATTTGCATCCCTCAAATCATCCTGGGAGAAGGCAAAGTTTCGCCTGAGGCTGCTGGAGGGTCACAATGACATCGTCACCTGTGTGGTTGCTGTTGACAACCTGGTGGTTTCTGGAAGGTAAAGCAGTGAGAGAAGCCCCGATTTGCATAATGGATGTGCAAAGTGAACATTTCACCTAATTTATCACTTAATATGCTCCCGCTCTCTCCCTCGCTGTCTGACATATTTGTTTTTCTTCCCCCGCCCCCGATGGCTCGGCACAAATCTCTCGCGATTTATGTCGAGCGGCTTTTAACTTTGCTTGTTTTCACCTTCTCTCACTCCCCGCCCTCCTGCACCCTCTCTTTCTCACTCTGCATGTCTTCCCCCTCCTCGAAGCCGAGACACGACGGTGAAGGTGTGGCACGTTCCCACGGCAACGGAGCACAAGAACCTGGGGGGTCACACTGGTGGGGTCACCTGTCTGTCTGCTCCTCCCCCTGAGTACTGCAAGAGGCTGGGTGAGGACACACATACATCCACGTCTTTACATGTGCGCCGACTACAGCTGAGTAATGCCGGTGTCCTGCGGTCTGGTAATTATAGGAGCAGTTCATCAGATCAGCCCCAGTGAGAGATAACCTCAGCAGACACTTTAGAGAGTTCACTGTCTGTCTGGAGCAGGCAGCCTTCCATCACTTGAACTCCAACGCCCTCCCCGGCTCTCCTCCTACACTCCCTGTCCACCTGCCTCCCCAACTTAAAATACCGAGTCGAGAAGTGCGGTGCATAGATGATGCAGCTGAACTAATAGTCACACTCTGTTCGTACACTAATTGCTTGTTTATGTTCATAAATTATGACTATTTTTGCTTCTTCCTTGCAGTCTGTCCCATTTTTTTTACATCATCACTTATTTACAGCTTCCTCTCAGCTTAATCTTTTTTGTCCTCTTCTCTCTCTCTCTTTTTCTGATCCCAATTCCTTCCTCCTCTTCCTCCTCCTCTGTCCCCTCCCTCTCTTCTGTCTGTGTTTGCCCTCTCACTAGCCTGGTCCCTGTCTTTGTCCGACAAGGAGAGGTTTATTTTGAGTGGCTCAGCAGACTGCTATGTGAAGATCTGGGCCCTGAGCATTGGTACGCTTAACCACACAAACATACACACACACACGCAGATATACATACACTGCATATATTAAGGTAGACAGAGCCTCGGGGCTCTGTCTGGGCAACGTATGTGTGTGTGTGTTTATGCATCGTAATCAATGTATGCCTGTGTGACTGGTGGTCTGTGCTCTGTCAGCTAAATTAGTATTTTCCTGTTCCCTCCAGGGCAGTGTGTTAAATCTGTCTACACGTTCAACGCTGTGACTGCACTCTGCTTCGTGCCAGAGGACGATGGCTACATCATCACTGGATCAGGTGTGTTTCTGTGTGGAACGAGTTTGTGACACAGTGAGCAAAATAATTGGAGATAGGCACTGTGGCATCACATCATATTTGTATTTATATCGGCCTCTGTACATGCATGTGCTTTGAAGGAGACATCTTTACTAATACATAGGCATCATCTGCCAGCGAGTTAGTGAGTGTAGCACGGGGCTATTGGGCCAAATCGGAGAGATGGAGGCACACAGATTAGGCAGTCAGGCTCAGGTGGGTCGACCGTGACCAACAATAATGACTGCCAGCCGCCTGTCAGCACACGTTAACCTCACACTCTGTCACCCCTCAGACGGGGGGAAAGTTCAAGCCTGGAGCTGGCACACTTTCGAAAACTGCCAGTCAATCAACGCTCACCAGGAAGCAGTCACCTCCATCCAGGTGGGTGGGTCACACCTATGTGATGTGCTGTCCAAACTGAGGATGCTCAGCCTATTTTTAACGGCTGGCACAAAAAAAAAAAACCACGCAGATTTTTCTCTCTGTGTAGAAGCTGTCTAAAGTAGTGTTAGAACTCTTGATTATTAATTTGTCAAAAAAAGCCTTTCTTTAGAAAATCTAACGACTATATTTCCGCGCTATTATCCTCACAGAAGCTTTCCTTGTTTATTGCTTTCAAATGGAAATCAAAGATATTTGTTGAGATGTAAGCCGTGGAGCTCGGCCAGTTTTAGAAAGCATACTATACATATTTTGAGCTAAAAAGCCTTTTCATGAATATTGAAATCCAGAGCTGCATGTGCACATTTTTTTTTTTCAATTTGCAATCACGAAAATATGCCTACAGCATTAAAGCGTGGCGCATCATTGTCATCCTCTTTGTTGTTTATCATGCAAAGCGCACAATCCATTTATAACCAGCAGCGGCTCAGAAACATACATTTTGAAACTGTTCACACTTCTTTTCCATTTACACAAACATACATACACTCTCTCTCTCTTTTTGTGTGTTTCTGTCTCTCGCTCACACACACACATAAACACACACACACTGGGTAAAGACTCAGATCACCATGACAACCATGCCTCCTATGCCCTCCACAGTCTCAGGGTCCGCTGGTGTTCAGCGGCTCGGCCGAGGGAGGGGTGTGTGTGTGGGAGAACCGGTGTTCGGATCGAGACCCCCTGAGGCTGCTTCACCACTGGGGCGACCAGGTGACGGGCTGCGGAGGGGAGCCGGGTGGACGTCTGACCCTCAGCCCGCGGGGGGACAGGGTGTTTTTGGCTTATGGTCGAGCCTGGCTCAAGATCCTGCACTGGAGGACTGGTGAGCTGTGGAATGGAGTGGAAAGTGTGTGTGCGTGCATGTGTGTGTGTGTGTGTGTGTGTGTGTGTGTGTGTGTGTGTGTGCGTGTGCGCGCGCCAGGATGATTGAAAAAGGAAGGTAGATGAAAGAACATTTGCATAATCCTTCCACCTAACATCTGTCCAATTATCACAGGAGCCATGTCCAGACTGACCAATCACAACAGCATCACCGGGGTAACAGATTGTGTTCACCAGACAGGAGGCCTCCTAATTGGCTCCTGCTATGATCTGGCGAATGGAGAGAGCTCGCTAAATTGTGAGTGGCTGAGCAAACCAAGTGCAACCAGAAGTAACCCCGCTCCACTCTGAGAGAGTGACAGCACAATCAGGACTTAAGACCAAATCAAAAGCACTTTGTTTGCCTCTGTTGACCTCCGTCTCACTCTCCTCCTTCTAGTATTCTCTCTGCCCCAGTGCCGCTACCTGGCCTCTCTGACCTGGCCCGACGCCCCCAGAATCCTCTGCTTTGCGGCGTGGACCACAGGGAGCGGAGACCACCGGTGGGTCACCGGAGGTCATGACCTCATTGTATGGGAGCAGCTCCCCAGTTCTGCGAAGCAGAGGTGGGCGCAGTACATATCAACACCACTCAGATAAAAAAGATTTTAAACTGCTCAATTATGTTTCTTATTTGCATAACTCTTCCAAGGTCAACTGCATTGCTAATTCAAAATCTATACTGGGATTTATAAGGTGCTAATGAGTGTAACTGATTTTAACACACACTTTGATTGATATTAGGTGTTTAATTATTTGTGGTGTGAATGTTGAAAGGGGTGATGTCATAGCGAAGAGAGACAGTCGGTTGGAGTCCTGCTTGCTGGAGTCGGAGGGGGACACAGAGGATGATGAGGAGACTGATGGTACACACACACACACACACACACACACACACACACTGCAATTTCACACATTTTCATGTCTTCATTTACTGACTGGCACGTTTAATGAGAAAGCGTGAAATTGCAGACTCATACTATCGTGTTCGCTCCAGATGATGCATGTTGTGACGAATCCTAGTGACCTCCTTGTCAAATTTAGATTACGAGGATGATGGTGACAACAACGAAGGACAAGACGGACGGTCTGATGTTGCGGAGGACGGAGGGTCTGGCTCGTGGTTGCGCTGCGTTCTCCAGTGAGTGCTGGTTTCTTATGCTGAGGACACCACGGCCTGCAGCCATGAAGAGGAAATGAGAGGGTGGGAGCGTAGTGACAGCGGAGGAGGGTGCAGGGGAGCGAAGTGTGACAGACTGAGTGTCTGAGAGGGGAGCGTATGGATGGAGACAGTGAGTGTGTGTGTGTGTGTGTGTGTGTGTGTGTGTGTGTGTGTGTGTGTGTGTGACTGATAGGCAGATTGTTTTCTATGTAAATATTATTTCCACATACAATAAAGCTGTCACCCTGTGACTCTCACCTCCAGAATTTGCATCTCTTGTTGTCTCTTTTTTATTTCAACCTGACCCTGACTCTTCTTCAAACACCAGTTCATCACCCTGCTCTGCCGGAGCAACCTGTCTAAATGAATGTAAATGAAATTTTATTCCAATCTTTATTCCTTGCCCTCTTCTTCTTCCTCTTTGCTGTCTGTCTCTTTCTCTCTGGGGTGTCCTTGCCTGTTTTTGTAAACATAATTGAAGAGTTTTTTTAACCTCCAGCCTTTACAATGAGCTTACCAATGTCGTCCCCAGTATCATTTCTGTTTGCCTCGTCAAATTCATTTCTTTTCCTCTGCGTCCATTTAATTGAACCAGTTTTTTTTATTTAAAAAAAAACACGTAATTAGCATTTAAATCTCTTTCCTACAGTCTCTTGCCCTCCCTACATCGCTCTCTCTCCCCTCTCTTACTCTAGCAGACTCTACATGTCTCAGTCGCTAAGGCAACCGATGCTTTTTTTTCCTCCTCTCACTTGCTCTCTGTATCTCCCCCTTTCTCTCTGTCTCCCTCTCTCATTCCCTCTCTCCACTGCCAGAGGTAGGCATGATAACTGATATGTGTCGGTGTGTGTGTGTGTGTGTGTGTGTGTGTGTGTCTGTGTCCGTCTCCCGGTGCGCTCGCGTGTCTCTTAAGTGACATTTCTGTGGCATTTAGGCAGCAGTTTGTGGACGGGAAGTTGCCTCTCTCTGCTCAAAGTGCCATATAGTGTATTGGCTCCATGCATGACGCTTCTAATGATGATTAATGCGCTGTGCTGCTCAGGTGTGTGCACTGTAATTGTGTGTGAGAGAGCAGAACAGGCAATGAGTATGTACTTCTGGGTGTTTTTCAATGCAGATGTGGATCCTGGATAAACATGTGGCGCATAATTGAGCGTTAAATTTAAAAGCCTGGGGGAGTCTGTGAATGATTTTCTTTTTTTAAATGACAGAGTTGGCGTTCTGCCAATACTCTTTGCTGGTGTCTATGTTTACATGGTTTTTATCTGGCAACACAAAAGGAGGAGAAAAAAAAGCTGGACCCTCCCCTTTCTCTCCCTCTCTATCTATCTCTCTCCTGCCCCTCTGTCCTATCTTACAGAGAGAGATGATCGGAGGAGCGGAGTCTCAGTGAACAGAGCGAAGCGATGGAGAGATGGTAAGATGGATAGTAACTGAGGTGAAGGAGGGATGTATGGGGTGCAGATACATAAAATGTCACTCTGAGTGATGGCTGGCATAAGAATCAATTTCTGGGCTGATGAGGTCGTGCAGGACGCCTATGGACAATACATTTTCTCAGATAACTTCTGTGTCACTCCACCACCTCTCATTCTTTCTCCTCCACTTCTCTTCCAGCTCCATCTCTCCTGTCGCACGACTGACCGCCCTCCGCTGCCTCGTCTCCCTCCTCCTGGTTGCTCTGGTGACACAGCCCTCCACCTGTAACCGTGACGACAGCGAGGGCGAGGAGCAGGTGGACGCCCTGTCTGTCCAGCTGTCCGTCACGGCCCAGGTCACACCCACCCCTCTGTGGGCGGTGGACTGGGGTCCCACGCAGCCTCTGGAGGAAGAGACCTACCACTTCCTCTCCAGCCAGGAAACTGACCCCCTGCACCAGCATGGGAACCAGCTGGAGGCAAGCACCGCCAAGTCAGACTGGCCTGCAAGCGTGCAGCCCCGGGAGGAAGCACCGCTGGAGTCTAAGGACCAGGAGGGAGTGGAGGATGGAGGGACGGAGGCGGAGGAGACGGAGCCTGAGGAAGGTGGGCATCAGGACGTGCACATGAGGGATTTCTAAATAAAGGTGGCCATGTGAGCACACACACACACACCACAAGTCCTCCAGGGAATTAGCTGTCACCAGGGTGAAGGCTGCTGCGTGCAGCCGGCTGTGTCTGTGGCGGGGAATGCCTAATAAAGTTCTCATCACTCACAGGGAGGAATTGGCCGCTGTCAAAATGCAAGATACAGAGAAGACGTCATGGGATTGGTGTTATAGTTGGAGGCCAGCGTCTCGCACATCCAATTTCATGTTTCAGCTGGCTTCATTGATTTCTTCTCTTGTTCTGGATACAATTATACACGGTCATGGTCTGAGATTGGTAATTGCACGAGTATTTGTATGTGTGTATGTGTGTGTGTTACAGTGGACCCTCAGTTCTACGTCACCGTGACCATCTCCTCGCTGCTCATCCTGACGGCAGTCGTCATTACAGCCAAACTCTGGTAGGAACACAAACTTTCTCCTTCAAAATATGATGTGTGTGTGTGTGTGTGTAGCCGCATAATATAAAAAGGGCATTGCTGAATAAGAGTGAATGATGAGCAAACTTTTCCTCTATGAGCTAAAGACCTGGCTCACAGTAGGTGTGCAGCACTGATTCTTCTCAGTCAAAGGTTTTTTTTTCCAATGGCAAAGTATGTGGATTTGACATTTTCTCATTTTAAGAGCACACACAGTGAGATGCAGAGCCTCAATACAAGATGCCTCACTTAAAGGTCCCATGTGTAGGATTTAGGGGCATCTATTGGCAGGAATGGTATATATATTCAGAATATATTTTCCCAAGTGTATAATCATTTGAAGATAAGAATCATGTTTTCTCTACCTTAGAATAAGCTGTTTATATCTACATACAGAGTGGGTCCTCTCTATGGAGTCCGCCATGTTGTTTCTACAGTAGCCCAGAACAGACAAACCAAACACTGGTTTAAGATAGGGCCATTCACATTTTAGTTTCAGCTACTGTAGTTTTCCTACCACTTGGCACATGGGAGAAGTTTGAGTTCTGCAACCTCACAGCGAGATGCTACTAAATCCTACACACTACACCTTTAATATAATGGAATTGGATTTCTAAATTGGGCTCTTTAAGACTGAGAGTGTGAGGTTAAATGAGGTGCTTTGTGTTAAAGCATTTTGTAAACCTCCTGGCTTACATTTGCTCTGAGAAAGGTGATTTTTTTAAAAGAACAATGCATCTTACTCAAAGCACAGATGTGTTGAGGTCGATTGTTGATTATGTAAAACAGAAGTTCCCAACTTGGGGGTCAGGACCCCCTAAGGGGTCACGAGATGATCATCAAGATAGGAAAGCACAAGAAACATATTTCTGCTACACAAAAGTGAGTTCATTTGTCAGACTTTACTTTAGTTGTTGCTTTTTTTCATGTGATTTGCTGGATATTATACTTCTTCAGCATCAAAATAATCTTAGAGGGATTAATCGTTCTTTTGTTGACTTAGTCATAATCCACAGACATATTCAAACACCAAAGATGAGTCACGGGTAGACTGAGCTTAGTTTGTGTGTAGAATTTAGGGAGATACATTGGCAGTAATGGAATATAATATAATACGTATGTTTTCTTTAGTGCATAATCACCTGAAAGTAAGAGTAATTGTGTTTTTGTTACCTTAGAATGAGCCGTTTATATCTACATAGGGAGCTGGTCCTCGTCCATTGAGATCGCCATGTTGCACCAATGTTTCTACAGTAGCCCAGAAAGGACAAACCAAACACTGGCTCCAGATAGGACTATCAGTGTTTTTGCATTGGCCACTGTGGTTAGCAGTCCCTCTGGAAAAACGCTGATTTTTTAACGTGAAACTGCTTTATTCAGTGTTTTTACAGGTTTAAATCACTGGGTCCATTTGTTGTGAAGCGGAAGAGACCTCTAGGGATAATTCAGCTCGTGGTAAAAACCTGCTTAATGACTAATGTTATCAGAAAAAAAAGCTGAGCATGCATCAGCAGGTGCTGAGCTAGTGACTCTTCTCCGACATGACGAACAGTGTAGGAGAAACAGATTTCTAACGTGAAACCATTTGATCAAGTGTTTGTAGCAGTTTTAATCACCTTGTGCAGGTGTTTTGGAGAGGGAGAGACCTCTGCAGATAATTTGGCTCTTGGTAAAAAACAACAACTCCTGAACAGTGAACACTGAAGGAATTCTAACCAGGGGAAGTTTTAGCTGGTTGCAATCTGCAGTCCTCACTGCTAGATGCCACTAAATCCTACACACTCGACCTTTAGGTGGCAAAATATATTGGGAACAACTGACAAGAGTTGAGTTAGGGCTGTGCATTCGTGTTAAGAGATTGGAGTGTTCTGTGTTTTGAAAAATGGGACTGAGGGAACTGCTAAAATTAAAGACTAGCCCCATTATTACCCACTGATGGGTCAAGATGAAAGAAGGGAAGTGCAGGGATTTATGAAGATGCCAGATGAAGATACGACCCTGATAGTTTCAGATGTGTTTGCATGTGCACACTGGTCTGCTCGCCTGTTGTTTATGATTACGTAATGTGTCCACATACAGTATTTCCTCCTTAAAGCGAGTACTGAGTAATTGCTTACTAATGACTTTATTAACAACACTTGTGCTCCTGAAAGTCACAGTTGGCACAGATGTGTCATTTAGTGCCATTAGAGTTGCAATGATTAAACATTCGCTATAGCCATTAGAATGGAACTGGAGGCAGGAAACAGATCTGTTGGCTCACAGGCTCGAGCAATAACATGGCGTCACTGGTGTCAATGTGCTTTAACAGCCATTAAACCTCTGGGTTGGTGGGTTTCTGTGTATGTTTCAGTCCTAGCAGGAAGTGCTCACTGCACACATGGCCATTAGCTGGAAATGGGGAGTCATCTATGTGATGTAGTGGAGCACTTCCACGCTTTACTGATCAAACCAATAACACCTAGTTTATTTGACCCCTGGGACTCCCCTCTCCTTCTCTTCCCCATATCAAACTCTTTTTTTTTGTCAATCTCCTTTTCCGCTCTCACCCATTTACACTTTTCCTCTCCTCCTCCTTACTGTAATTCCCCTATCTGCTCATCTTACCCACATTTCTATTGTATCATAATTTTTCATTTCATTGCCTGAATCTGAATTTGTTCCCCTTCATATCTATTTTTCATACTCTCTCTTAATCTCAGTTTCGCTCCCACTCTCCTACATTATCTCCCCTCGCTCTCCCTCCCTCCTCCCACTTGGGCCTCCCTTCCCTTCGCCTCCCAGGGATTTTTCTTCTTCTTTTTTTTTTCTTCTTTTTTTCTTCCTCTCTTTCTGTCTCTGAATACCTGTGTTCCCTGTCTTCCTTCAGGTTCTTCGCTTACTTCCAGTTATCACCGTCGCCTTGCTCTAACGCTGCCTGTCTTTGCACAGCTGGTGCTCCTCTTATCTCCCTCACCAGTCTCCTATCTCTCCCAGCACCGCCAGTCCGACTGCTGATCCACAGATAATCCTCCAGCATGCCGTGAGCTGATACACGATAAACCCTCTTTTCTCTCTGTTCCTGAGACCGGCCTTCGCTGTTGTTTCGATAACTTACTCCGCTGGCCCCCACCGCTCGTGGAGGAAAACCCCACGCTGCTGCTGGTGGTTGCAAAGTGGCCTTATGAAAGTGAGAATGGCAGGGAATTCAAAACTGGAAACATGGCAGCAGCCCCCTCTCTATAGACTGGCTCGTGCCTCAGTGTCATAAATGTGTAAATAATGCCATGTGTTAGATGGAGAGAGTGTAGAGAGGGGGGTACAGATGGACTGAAATGATAGCCTATAGTGGAAATTGGCCACCGTCCAGTTCATTATGATTATAGAAGAGCGGCATATGTGCTCAGTGATTTTCCCAGCCCTAAAATCGTCAGTGTGGCTAATGTTATCAAGCGTGACGATGTTTGTGTGTATATATGTGTGTGTGTGTGCGTGTACATATGGAGAGAGGAGTCAGCCAGAGGAAGACAGGTGTTGCTGAGGGAAGACGAGGCTGCAGGATGGCTTTTATGGCTGCGAGAACAGCTTTGTTGCGCGTCTGAGTATTCTTAAGAGCCTGAACCCGTGACTCTCGACTGTGTCTTCACCCCGGCAATGCATCACCCCTCTGCCCATGTCTTCGCCTTGTTGCATCCTGCCCGCCTCACCCCTTCTGACTCCCACCCCCTGTCTCCTTCCCCCATTTCTCGCTCTGCCTCCCTCTCCCCCCTGACAGCGTTTTAATGAGTCCGATGAGTGCACTAATTCTCTCTCACAGTGGCAGAGTAATGTGTTCGCTGATGCTAAATGGCTCGGCTGTTCTTGATGCTCTCTGACTTTGTTTCTCCGTCTCTCACTCCCCCTCCTCTCTTTTCTCTTTATTCTGCTGTTTTTCCTTATCTGTGTCTCTGTCTGTCTCCCTTAATTTCACCCTCTCTCTCATGTCCTGCTCTCTCCCTCTCTAACCTTCTTTTACTGTTATCTGTCTCTCTCAAACTCCCAACTTTTCTTTGAGTCCTTTCATCTCTGTTTCTATTCCTGTCCCTCTTCTTCTTGGTCTCTTTTTTCCTTAATTCCCATCTCTTCCCACCTTTCTCTTTCCTCTCATCTGTCTCCCACCCTCACCAACTCTCCCCCTGTCCTTCACTCTCTATCCCTTTTCCACGTGTCTCTCTGATTTTGTGCCTTCTACCACCTCCTCTCCTCTCTCTCCATCTATCTGTGTCACTATCCTCCTCTCCCAGTTACGATCGCAGCTGCTCCCAGCATCCACCCCCGCTTTCCCGTGGCGTGGCCCCCCCACTCTCCCTCGCACTCCCTCGCTCCCTCGCTTCGGAGGACAGCCGGCAGACGCTGCACAGCACCTCCTCCTCCTTCACCGACAGGGAGAGGTAATGAGTCGCCTCACCAACTCGGAGTGTGTCTAAGTCTATGAGACTGATGTGCATGTGTGAGTTGTTTGCCTCTGTGTGTGAGAGTGTGTGAAGAAGCCTTATTATTACCTCCACTCCATTGTAAGGATGTAGATGGAGTATAAATGGACAGTGTCTCTGAGGAGTAGTCAGGCCTGGAGTGTTGGTGCTGCTGCTGTAAGATGTATCAGTGTTTTAAACTCCCTCTCCAGATGAGTCATAGTGGGCCCCAGCCGCCGTCCATGAGATGATGCTTTTATTCAAGGGTATTTAAAGTTAATCTCAATCAGGATAATTATAGTGCTGTACTCCAGTACTCCCCCCCATCAGCTTTTTCCTCCACCTTCCTCCTCTTCCTCCTTCTCTTCCGTCTCTTCCCCCTGCCGCCCTCTCGCTCCCCTGTGATGCAGCTTTCCGTTTGCGTGTACACCACTTTTCCAGCTCCAGGCCTCCCTGCTCCACTTCTCCTCTCCCCTCCTGTCTTGCCTCCCATCATCACAGCTCCCAAAGCTTCCCCCAACCCTCCCCCCTCTCCTCTTTCTTTCCCTCTCACTCTTCTTCTTCTTCATCTGTGTCTCTTGCCGTGTCAGGATCCCGGTTGTGAACCTCTGAGGTGACTGTTTTTCCATATGGTAAACATTTCTACGGGGCCTGAGGAGGAACATCAACACGACCAGAGGGTGTGCCCGCGGCGCCGTTTTATTTTCTCTGAAACTGTGAAATGAATGCAGGGGTCCCAGGTATCCAGCCATCTCCTCGGCTTCCCTGAGGTCTTAAAAACCCAAACACGTCCCCCCCGTGCTGCTCCCTCCCTCCCTCCCTCCTTCCTTCCTTCCTTCCTTCCTTCCTTCCTGGTTATAAATTTCTTTCATGTGGCACTGCGTCACTGTAACCTGCTCCCTGTTTTCCATCCCCCCTGTATGGCCCCAAGCTCTGCCAAGCCAACCAACAGCTCTGCGCTTCGACCCGCCATGACTAATTCACAAACAAGCAGTTTAACACACCTGCAAAATCCCATTACCCCTGAAATGCCCTACCTGTGCTTCCACAGCTGCTTCCAGTGATTCAGCTGCACACGTGAAGCTGATCAGTATTCATTTTAATCCAGCAGACTGTTCTGTCATGAAATGACACTCAGTTTCACTTCAGTCGGACAGGCTTGTGTCTGGTTCGCAAATGGTTAAAAAGCCATTCTCAGCATCTCCAAACACTGAACGGGGTATTTCACAAAGCTGTTTGGCACGGCTGTAGCCAACAGGCAATGTGTTTAACATGTCACGCTCCAAAAACTGCTGTTTATTCCCCGCTTTGGGAGCCTGAAATGCAAATAGTGTGGCTTTTTTCCTCTGCAGTGTGTAGAGGAGTCTGTTTTGTTTCAGTTTTTCCTCATGATTTGTTTTCTTAATTATCTGGCTGACGTTCACCTCTTTGTCGAGCCTTTGTGAGCACCCTCTGTTCCTGCTGGACTGTGTTAGAGGTGTGTTAAGCATAGAGTACTTCCAGCGGTGGAGATAAAATATTCAGAGCGGGAATGGATAGAAGAGACATTCCTGTTGAAAATCAATGATTCCCGAAGGTTTTGGATGGTGCACAACAAAGACAGATTTATGTCGTCATGGAAATGAGCATCTGTGATCAAAGGACTGATGTTGCCACAACAAGGATTTTTTTTCCACCTGACAGCCAAGTATCTCAAACTGGAAAGCAAAAGCACCATAATTTCCCTTCATATCATTTTTCTGTCTTGGGAGCACCAAAGGAGAAGTAGTACATCAAGGAGCATCATTTCTGTCTCTCCGATGAATCTGCATGTATACAGTGAGAAAACCTGTGAGAGTAGTTTCAAATCTATTATTTATAAATGTCTATTTTATCTATCAGTGAGTGACGTCTTATAGAACCTTTCAAAGCCAAATGGCAGTTTGTGTTTGGCAACTTTTTCTAAGCAGCTTTGAAACATGACCCCCCCCCCCCCCCTTACATACACACATTTCCACTACAGACATAGTGCTGGTGGCATCATGCGTGGCTCGTGCAATCCTCCAGATATCCAGTCTTGTGATTTTTTGGTAGCATTCCTGTAGAAATGTGGTCTTTCTGTACCATGGAAGTTCAATAAAGACTCAACACTGGCGTTTTAGCTTTGCGTCTCTCTGTTATTTCTATGCATGTTGAATGAATTCCCCCGGGAGCTGTGCGATCTGCAATGCTTTATGGGAAGGACAAAGCTTACACTGTGCATTTTAATAGCTACCGCTGTATCCTAATCTTTTTCTCCCTTAAGTGAACATTTAGTCCCTGGCTTGCATTGATTTTGAACCATGGGCTTGGCATTAAAAAGTGCTGCATGTGCCAATCATGTTTTTTAGCAGTGAGGAGCAGCTGAAAAGGGGGCGAAAAATAAGGCGGCTGTTTGTGTCTGAAGCTTTCCCTTATCTCCTCACCTCATATGGATTCCTCTCGCTTCAGAAAGATTAACAGCATGCTAAGCAAGAATTTCCTCTGTGTACAGTTTTTCAAACAAATGTCAATAAAATCAAGGCAGGCGCCAGAGGAGAAGTGCCACTATTGTGTGATGAGATTCTCCAGCAGCCTGCCGCACAGCTACTGTTTCCATCTCCTCTGGGCATTTTACTGATCAATCAAACTAATTGATTGGCTCCGTTCCACTCTGAAGTTTTAATGACCATCTAGTTACGAGACACATGCCAGCAGACGTTGCAGCATTCTGTAAAGCGCGACTGACAAACAACAAATGCAGAAGTTAGGTGTGATCTCATGAATGCAGTCATCACTCACATGCTCACACCTGTGACACACTCGACTCACCTGCCACTTTCTCTCCACATTACACACGAGCCAACTCACCCTCTTTGACTAACAAACACTTGGAGAGGTGAACAGCTGTTAGAAATCACAGCTCCGATCTGGTAAAAAACTGCAAACCAACGAAGCTCAATCACACTGACTGAAATTAACACCGCTATTTATAGAGGTGGGAGGGATGTTGGAGGGGGTGGAGAAATATGCAGGGTTAAATCAAACAGGATCATAATTTCCCTCTCTGTTTCCCTCTCACTGTTGCTGCTGGTCAGATAATTGCCACCATTAATGTCATGCAGGATGAAGACAATTTAGGGAAAACAGAATCAAAAGAGTGAAAGACAGACATGGCGGGCATGATGAAGGCAATTTTGACTGTGTGATGGAGGTACAAGGGAGGGTGGCAGGCAATTTCAACAGGCAATTTTGACATTGAAATAGAAGCTCTGGGCAAAACATACGCATATGAAATATGAATGCACTTGGTGTGTGTGTGGATGTGTGTGTAGCCATGCTGGTTGTGCACAGGGGAAGCCTCGGCTCTATAATACATTAGTCTCTTTGGGGACATGCCCTAATTAATGGCTTGACCTCCTAACGGGTAGCCCCCTTCTGCGAGTTAACATTTAGCTGTGCACCCTCCAGAGATGCACTTTGAAGTGCGTTTAATAAAAGAAGTGACAGTGACATTAATGAGGCAGTTAGGGTAAGTACAGGGCTTCGTTTTATTTCCCGACAATTTATATTCTGATTTTATACATGTCTCAACTCAGCAGAGAGAAAAAAACAACAACAAAGCAACAAAGAATTAATCGAAACTAAAAGAACATTTTAAACCAACAGAGATGCACACATACGCGTCAAATACACAGATCCTGTTTCTGGTCAAAGGCAACTGACTCCTGCTGCAGACTGTTCTGTCTTTATGTGTTAGAGGAAACTTGTGTGTGTGTGAGTGTGTGTGTGTACACTGACAGTCCGCCAGTTAGGCTATTAACAACTGCAAAAGTGGATGTCACACCTGTCATTTTCCATCAGCTAGTGCTTGTTTCCGAATCCGTCAAGGTGAGACGTGGTGAAAAAAAAAGTTCCCATGAAGTTTCCTGGTTTTACTGTGACGAGCGTGTATAAGACGAAGGTGTCCGTGAACATCCGTATATCCGTCAACGTGTCCATGTGTCCGTTAATCAGTGAGAGTGTCTATCAGTGTCTCCGTCTCCACATCTCAGTCTCTTGTCTTTAGTTGGATTTGGACCAGATCTTCCCACTGCCACGCAGCCTAAGTGGGAAAAATACCAGTGAGAAACACAGCGTTGGTATTTTGTTTGGGATTTATCAAAATACTGTAATGACATGTTTACTTTCCACTCGCACAACTAAACAAGCATGTTACTGATGCAACCACGGTGCAAGTGTCTTTGTGTTAAAAAATCTAATGTCAGTATTTAGTATCTTTGCATTGAAACTGATCTCAGTGGATTTTCTATTTCTGCAAATTAAAAAGAATTTCAGCAAAGAACCTTTTTCTAATAATATCCGCTGCACTATCAGCCCAACCCTTTAAATAGCTTTATAAAGAAATGGTGTCAAAACTCATTTTTAATTCGGGGATTGAGGTTAAGCTATCATTAATTTGGATTTCAAAACATTAAGTGGATCTTCATTTGAATGAAGTGCAGTGCTGAGTGATGAAAATTATATGGCTCTACGCTTCATCAAAATGTGACAGGCAGCCAGAAAATAATCACTGCTTTCTGTTCGCCAGCAACAAACATAAACACCAGACAAGCAAAACATCTTGTCTGATCACTGGAGGGGGGAACGGTTCTTTCAGAAGGAGAGCACGTGGGGCATTTGTGTATCCAGTGACATTTTACAATCCAGGACAGATGTGAAATTAGCCAACGGTAATTGGGCCGGATGGAAGCAGAACAGGAAGAGAGTCGCTGATAGTAGGGTTAGAACACTGCTGCAAAACACTGATGTGCATGTGATAATAAAGCTTCTTCATGCAGACACACGTTCACACACACACACACACACACACACACACACACACCACTTACACTGGCAGCTGGCTTTTTAATGTTTATTGAAAAAATAGAAACATAGCGGTTCTGTGTTGAATTAACTTTGCTCTCTACAAGAACATTGGACTAATGGCTTTCATTTAGTGTTTGAAGTAGAGTCTTTATAGTGCTCTGTTTATAACTAGGTAAATTCGTATTTATAAAGCACCTTTCAAAAACCGCGGTAACAAAGTGTTTCACAGAACAAAAGGAGAAGCAGCAATAAAAGAATCTTAATGGAAAAAACCTCCACATGCAGCCTTTTTGTTCCAATTTTGTGACTTGCAGGAATAAATAGCATTTCTTGCTTGAAAACCCCTCAGCTTGATTTAACAGCGCAACAACAATTCTGAATAAAACATTTCAGCAAATTATTCTACATGGCCAAACATATTTTATGTGTTCAATTTCTGAAACGTTTGGCCAGGCTTTATGAATGCAATTTCTATGCAAACTCTCTGTGGTCCCTTTTGTTTAAAAGGCAGAACACCCAGAGAACTTTATTCATGGTGACAACATTCGGCTGCCTGTGAGTAGCCCCGTACGTCCACACAGTCAGCACAAAAAGGTGACGTCACAGTACTCACCCTTTCACCTTTGAACTTTTTTTGCCTGGTTGTCGGGGTTCCTGAGAGGAGGCGGGGTCTCGTGGCTCTGCGGGTTGGTCTGCGTCCTGATTGGAGGCAGCTCCGGCGGGGGCAGGACCTGACGACGGAGAGGCGGCGCTGGCCTTTAACGTTTTCTGTAGGTTTGACACCTGAGGGGAAAGTGAAGACAGATTAAAAATTAAAAATTCAAGAGAAGGGCAAGTGAAAGGACGGGTTTTCAGGTCTGTCGTAAAACAATAGTAAGGTTTGAGGGTAAACTCATACATAAGCATGTTTATACTTTAAAGTTAGAGGTATGAACACTCTGCTGTATGAGTTTACCCTCAAACAAAACTCAAAAAATGAAATATGCAGTCAGGAGGAAACTAAAATACCACAAGCAGCTACAAGCACCAAAGCAGAGATGCTGAAAAGGGAAGAGTCACATTTACTGGATTTTCTGGGGGGGGAAAGAGTGAGAGAAGTGAGGACTGATGAGATGAGGGACTAACCTCTGTTTCCACTTGGACTTTAACTTTCAACTGGCTCTCTCTGTATTGGTTTGCCCTCGAGACCTGCTCCTCAATACCACACAGCACTGCCTCACACCCTGTGCACCTGAGAGAGAGAAGAAAGGCATGGAGGAAGGAAGAAAGCAGAGTGCGAGTTTGACAAACTAATAATTGAGCCACAGATAATCTGAAGTGTGTGCACGGACAAACACAGGTGATACTGACCATTCCTGCAGCGTGTTGACTATGTTTGGGAGCTCGTTGGGACCGAGGTCACGACCCACGCTGCAGTCTACCTCTACCTGCTGGTTCCTCTGGTCCAGTTTGCCCTGGATGATGTCACAGTAAACGGCGTCGATCAGCAGGTCCTCCAGCTCCCGCACATTCTTCAGCTCAAGCTGCTGGAGGAGCAGTGAGTACGGCAGGCACTGAGGGAAAAAAGACATGAGAAACTTTACGTCTCCTCTTCTTTTGTTTTGTTTTTTAAACAAGGTATACAGGCAGATAATTTGATTCCACTTTAACGGTTTGATGGAAAATGACAATAAAATGTTACAGTGAAATTGCCTATTTGTCTAAATGTCACAGCCAGAGGAAGATGAATGGAGAGTTTTGAATTTAACTATCCTCCACTGGGCAATTAGAGAGTTCAAGCCTATATTCGGGGAAAGCATGTGACATATTGAAGGAGAAAAACAAGGGCAGGAGTGAAAGGAGCAGTGGTAGTAGAAAGTGAGATTAAGTTTGAAGGAAAAAAAAAGGGACGGAGCTGGTGAGAATAATGAATCAATTATTTATCAGGAGCAAAGAAAGAAAAGGGCATAAGGAGATGTGCAGTATGGTTAGAAGCTGGGAATGAGAGATGCCTTAATAAAGGAACATTTAATACTTTATCACTCACACAGAGGGAGGAATAAGAAATCTAATGAAGAGCAGTATTGGCTGTGCTGGTAACTCTGCTGAGAAACTTGAGATTGAAAGGCTTGTCTTTTTGTAATTCTAATTTAGCTGATACAAAAACATCTAGGAGCCTAAAATGACAGCCAACCACACATTAACTTTTTTGAAAAATTTGGTTAACATGCCATATTAAAAGCCAAACTGTTAACACATCATTCATAAACTGCTTTTTTTTTCCTAAGGATGCAC